ATTTTATTTGAAAAACAAGATTGACAGTTTTTTTAAATAAAATGCTAACTTACGAGGACTAGATCGCACTAGGCGGACGGGTTAGTTTGAGTAAGTCTGCAATAAAATGCTAACTTACGAGGAATAGATCGCACTAGGCGTACAGGTTAGTTTGGGTTAGTTTGAGTAAGTTTGCAATAAAATGCTAACTTACGAGGACTAGATCGCACTAGGCGGACGGGTTAGTTTGGGTTAGATTAAGTAAGTCTGCAATAAAATGCGAACTTACGAGGACTAGATCGCACTAGGCGGATGAGTTAATTTGGGTTAGATTGAGTAAGTCTGCAATTAAATGCTAACTTACGAGGACTAGATCGCACTAGGCGGACGGGTTAGTTTGGGTTAATTTGAGTAAGTTTGGAATAAAATATTAACTTACGAGGACAAGATCGCACTAGACGGACGGGTTAGTTTGGGTAAGATTAAGTAAGTCTGCAATAAAATGCTAACTTACGAGGACTAGCTCGCACTAGGCGGACGGGTTAGTTTGGGTTAGATTGAGTAAGTCTGCGTTTTCTTGATTGATTCTTAATTGATTCAATTTGTTCATCACTTATTCTATAGTTCTAAGTAGGACAGCATGATAAACTTTATTAACAAAAGAAACAATATAAATTAGTTAAAAATACAAATTATGGAATGCTAAGTTTAAATGGTTAAGTTTAAAGCTACTGCTTTAAGGTGATTTTGGACGTTGGAGAAAGGGTATTCTTGGACAAAGTTTAACAATCGAGAATTAACTTGCTTATATTTTGAACTCCTCGCTGGGGTCCTTTATTTGTTGACAGCCATTTCAACAACGTGTTTGTCCCTCGCGTTTTTGTTCCATCGTGCTTTTGTCCCTCGCGCTTTTATTTCTCGCGTTTTTATACAGTCGCGTTTTTGTTCCGTCGCGCTTTTGCTCTTCGCGTTTTTGTTCCGTCGCGCTTCTGTCCCTCGCGCTTTTGTTCCTCGCGTTTTTTCCAATCGCGTTTTTGTCCATCGCGCTTTATTCCAGTCGCGTTTTTGTTCCGTCGCGGTTCTGTCCCTCACGTTTTTGTTCCGTCGCGCTTTTCTCCCTCGCGCTTTTGTTCCTCGCGTTTTTATCCAGTCGCGTTTGTGTCCATCACGCTTTTGTCCTGTCGCGTTTTTGTTCCGTCGCGCTTTTGTCAGTCGCACTTTTTGTATCGCGCTTTTCTCCCTCGCGCAAACGGTTGTCGCGCAAATGACACAGAGCCGGCGCCGACTACATGGGGGCATCGGGGCAGGTGCACCCATGAGAGCTCTGAGCTCTCGTGGAGAATGCGGAAGTACAAGCGTGTTTATTGGTCATTCCAACGGTGGTTCAGCTATAAGTACTTGCATTTGGGTCACTTTTTACTTACTTTTTGATTTTGTTTTTCTTCTACTTGTACCTATTTCTTCGATTGTACACTGTGTCCCATTTTGGTTGTACATAAGGGATATCTCAGTTGCTATTGGAGTTAGAAGGATGCGGTTTTCGCTCGGGTTTTCGGGAATATTAACTACTTTTCTGTCAAACAAAAAATGCCGTCAGCAAAATTGGCCTCGCCCTTTTCGTTTTTCAGATACAAGGTGTTTTTGAAAATGTTGCATTTTGGAAAGTCCTTTTCTGAAACATTGTTCCTCATGACAAAGACAAACAGGATGGAGATAAACCTATCGAACTTTATACCATCGAAATCAGCAGAAGCAGACCTATCCAACGAGCTATTAATACAGGAGGGTGTCTCATTTGAAAAAACGTATGTTTGGTTCATTATTCAAAAAGTATCACTTCTAGAGAAAAACTGACTTCGTCACAGGAATCTATGTGTAGAAAGATCTATAAAAACCCGTTGTCCCCTTTTCGATCACTTATGAGAGAACCGAAATACAAGAGATATCCCAAAATACAACTTTTTCAAAAACACCTTGTATCTGAAAAACGAAAAGGGCGATGACAATTTTGTTGACGGCATCTTTCTGACAGAAAAGTAGCCAACGTTCGCGAAAACCATATCCTTCTAACTCCAATAGCAACTGAGATATCCCTTATGTACAAGTTGATCTATTATAAATGTCACCCCCTTCTAAATTTTCCATTTGACATATTTGACAAAAGTGTCAAATACAAAAGTTTCAATAAATTGTCGCAAGTTTTTAACTAAGTCACTTTTAGATATACAGGGTGTGTCAAAAAAGTTTAGCAGTGTGAAGTTAATTTTTTTTAAATGGAGCACCCTACATATTGTGCGCTTATTTGTTAGTCCCTTTTAAAATCATTCCAACGATATACCATTTGATATGTCTATCTTCGATATTTATAGGGAAAAACATGAAAATCCCTTTCAAGGTTTCATACAGGGTATTTCAGAAATGGTGTTACAAACTTCAAGGGCAGATAGTATTCATGAAAATAATGAAAAAAGTTCCTATGGATATAGGTCCGGAAACGCTTTGTTTCCAAGATAAAGGGTGTTGAGTTTTTCAAAAAAAAAAGTTTTTTATTAATAGCTCAAAAGAGATCTAGCGGATTTTAATGAAATTTTCACGGTTTATTTCAAACATTATCAGACATCTACTAGACCAATTAGATTTGATCCAGAATTTCCAGGGGCGTACCCAGTAACCAAATCGGTTGTTTTTGTGCAGAAAAAAATATCACTCTGTAGTTTTTGTACGATTTTTATTGATTATTCAGATAGACACACTAAAAATACAAAATTTTTGTCTCTTGAATTTTTCAATTATCTCGCTTCGTTGACGTCAAAAAATTACAATACCATACCTCGGCGCGTCTTCGAACTCCATAAGAAGAAATAAAAATGCTTAGGAAATGATTAAAAATTTATCGCAGTTTGTTTATGTATGAAAACAAAACGAAAAAAAACCTCAAATGCAATTTATGCCCTTTTCACTCAATGAATATTATGGATAATGTACCGTAATTCCTATGAAGTTTTATCTTTCCTTATGGAGTTCAGAGACGTGCCAAGGTATGGTATTATAATTTTTTCGCGAAAAAGGAAGCGAGATAATTGAAAAATTCAAGAGACAAAAATTTTGTATTTTTAGTGTGTCTATCTGAATAATCAATAAAAATCGTACAAAAACTACAGAGTGATATTTTTTTCTGCATAAAAACAACCGACTTAGTCGCTGGGTACGCCCCTGGAAATTCTGGATCAAATCTAATTGGTCCAGTAGATGTCTGATAATGGTTGAAATAAACCGTGAAAATTTCATTGAATTCCGCTAGATCTCTTTTGAGCTATTAATAAAAAAATATTTTTTTTTTGAAAAACTTAACACCCTGTATCTTGGAAACAAAGCGTAATTTATAGAATTGCTTACAGACATGCACAGAATTGACCTGTAACTTAGTTAAAGACTTTTCACAATTTCTTAAAGCTTTTGTATTTGACACTTCTGTCAAAAACGTCAAATGATAAAGTTAGCAGGGGGTGACATTTATAATAGATCACCCTGTACAACCAAAATGGGATACTGTGTTTATATAAATAAAAATAAATACATCAATAAATGTTTGCGTAAAATGTATACTACCTATCCAGGCATACGGGGGGGATAAAATCGAATACAAAAATTAAACCCAGGGTTGCTCTAGTGCTTCCCGAATTTAGCAATCGGAAACACTATAAAATAGACGTTTTTGGGCGTGGCGCATCCGAAAAAAAAATGTTCGCCCACCCCCTTCCCTTATAAACAAATTTATGAAGTTGTTTATTATTATCCTGCACCCATGAGGACTTTCAAAAGTCGGCGCCGCTGATTGCAATGATTCCCAATGTACAGGGTGATTCATTAAGAATGGCACACGGCCATAACTCAAAAACTATTTCTCGTAGTCTTGTCGGAAAAAAATTATTGCATAAATATGGCCAAGAGAAAATGCTAGAAATATATTTCAGCTTTCTAAAATGACCGCAAGGGGGCGTAACCCAACTGTCAAAGTACAAAAATGGTTTTATTTTCGAAATTTCGAATGGAAACGTATCTTAAAAATGCTAGCAATCGATTTTTGATGAAATTTCACACAATTTTGATCCATGACTTTTTGCCATAACTTATCGGATAAGACAGTTATGAGCTGTCAAATATTGCAACTCAAGAAAGCGGATAACTTCAAAACGACTCAACAAATCTGGTCGATCTTAGGTTCGTTGGAAACAGAAAAGTCTGCTCTTTAATTTTGTTGTGAAAAATTCAAATTCTGCTTAGTAGGACTGACGCAAGTCAGGGCCGTTTCCAGTCAAACCGAAAGTTACCAAACATTGACACATATGTCAAAAGATGACATTTCTCAAACCTATACTCTATACCAAAAATCTTTGCCATTAAAAAAAAAAAAAACAACAAATGCCAGCGCGAAACTAATCTCGTAGACACCCGGTATTTGAATTTGGTTATGGTTAACACGTAAAATCTTGACGAAAAAAGTCCTGTTGATAATTTTAGTGAAAACTTAAGTCAGTAATCAAAAAAAATATATTCTTATGTGCAAGCGCAACATTTTTCGAGCCGTTGCAGATTTTTGAAAACTATTGAAAATGATCATTTGGCAACTCCATCACAATAAAATTATATCACAAACCATTTTTTAAAATCTTAGGTAACAATGTAAATTTTAACTTTAGATACCTGATGGTTTTCATTTAATTAATAATACGATTTAAACAAAAATAATAGCCAAGATAGGCTTTGCAGTGTTCTATCTTCTTAGATTGAATTTAAAAATATCGGGTTTGTTATACTTTGTCAACGAAATGGACAGGCAAATAACCGACTTGTATCGTCCAATACTCAATAAAATTTTTAAACACAATCGAATCACTAAATGCAAATATAATTATTATTAAATAATAATACCCACGATCAGTTTCAATTGCAATATTTTTTTTATGTCCATATCCCGCTTGCATTCGCGAAGGTCGAAGTAAGAACTATATATAGGGGGTGTTGGCTGTAATAAGGCACAGTCAAGTCCAACTCTCAAGACAAGACACTCACAATGAACGGTTTGGTAAGGGACATTTTCCAATGAATCAAAATAGTTTTATAAAAAATAAATATTGATAAATACTAATTTTTCCCAGATCATCGCACTTGCTACCCTCTCCGTTGCCTATGCCGCTCCTGGCGGTTTAGTGCTTGGAGGACACGGTTTGGGACTCGGCCTTGGCGGTCTTGGTCTTGGACATGGAGTCGCTCTTGCCGGACCAATCGGTCATGGTGCCGTTCTTGCCGGACCTGTAGCTCACGGAGTCTCCGTTGTTGGACCCGCCACTCACGGAGCTGCCGTTGTAGGACCAGTTGCTGGAGGTGCTACCGTAGTAGGACCCACCGCCGGACACTCTGCTGTTATTGGAGCTTCCGCCCATGGCGCTGCTGTTGTAGGACCAGCTTTGGGATTAGGACATGGTCTTGGCTTGGGTGAGTTACTATATTCTGATTTTAATGCCATTTTGGAATCTTGACGTAATCAATTTGAGATTTTATGCCAGTATTGAGAAGTTTATCAAGATATTCTGTTTGATAACTTATTAGGATTTAATCAATATTATTTTTTTCCTCAGGAGTAGGAGCTGTCGGTCTTGGTGGATTAGCCCACGGTGTCTCTGTTGTCGGACCACCCACTGTCCCAGCCACCATTGCTGGACCATCTGGAGCCATCCACGCTGACGGACTCTGGGGACCCACCCTTGCTCATGGTCATGGTGGTCATGGTCATTGGTAAACACCAAACCAACCCCCTTTATCTTTTAAGCTTACCATTCACTAAATATTCTTGAGATAGTTACCATTGGAAAACTTTTGTGGATAGTCAACTGTAACTACAATTATTTTCCTTTGGAAACATGTATTTCAAGAAATTTTTAGTGAGATGGGCTACTGATTCTTTCTGCTGTGTGACCTCTGTACTGCCTCATGATATTTCTTATGCATAATGTATATCTTGTACCATAATATTTATAAGCCAGCATTTGCGTTCAATAAAGAACTTTCATTGTTAAATACATTTGTTTGATCTTCCCTTCAAAAATAATCAGGTTTAGGAATACTTGTCTACAAGCTTCTAGATTCTAATATCTTTGAACATCTTAACTAGCTGTTAATGACGGTTATTCAAATAATGGAAACATGATTAAGATTTGAATGTGTTGGTTGTTTTTTGAATTCAGATTAGGGCCAATTTTTGTAGATACCTGGATCAATTTTAAAAAAAAAATCACATCTACAATCTTTCAACATTCCCACCTTTCCCAGAGCCTCAAAATTATTCAAAGTCAACTTGAGAAAAAATAAATAAATTTTGATTTTGTGTTTCTGTTGCCGAAAATCTGGTTTGAAGAACTAAATCATGAAATATTGGACAAGAGTTAGGTGATAGGAGATTTTTTATTTAAACATTCTCGTAGAACTTGTTATTTTCTAGTACATATTTTTAAAAAGGCACCTAAACCAAATGTGTTATTTTGCTATTGAGCTTAACAGCGGATTCAACTCTATTAATATTTTGATTACCTACGTACTCCAACCAAATAATGAAATCTGAATAGTTATTTTTTCATCAAAAATCCATGGATGTTCCTCTACCTACATTTCGACTAGCTCCAGAGGGCTGAGGGCTCTGATATAAGATTGTAACTACCTATGATGGTAACTGGTGTGGTTGCTATGACAGAAAGCTCATTAAGAGTTTTAGGTGTTTTTTTTTTTGCTAATGGATTGATGATGAGGCTTGATTAAATCATCATGACTTGGTTGCTATAGGATTTATTTCAACAGGAAATCCTTGCAGTAAATATTTCTAAATTACAATATTGTTACAAAAAAAAACTAAACGTATTTTTATAACCTTTATTAAACTTTCACTACCATTAAAAATATTTAAATAATCATTACATATTATTTAAATAAGCACCTTTTCTTACATGTGATTCAAAATATTTCGCTCTGAAATTTATTTAAATTGGGTTAATTTATTGTTATAAATTAGAAGATATCACATTATTATTAAACAAAGAACTTCAAGATCACGCCAATACCGGATGACTACTTACCTATTCCTAGAAAATCTCTTTTCAATTTTTACCGGATTATGCATTGAAACGCATTTTAAACTTAGGCGTGGTTGGGTAGTGCACATTAATTTGAAAAAAATGTAGCAAGGACTTGTAGCGGTATAAAACAGAAACTATAAGGTAAACTAATATCGAAACTGGTACTAGTTGTCATTTAAAGTATCCTGTTCGGTGTCTGGTGGTACGAAGATTTATAAAGTATGCAGTTCGAGGTGGTACGTACTATGAAGGACCATTTTTTTTTTTCTAATAATTTTTTTTTTCTTGTCATATGATTAAGTGGATACTTACTTATCTTGGGTGATTATAATATTAGTTACGAAACTTGAATGTTTATTTTGCTCTATAAGTTTATTAACAGATACATATTAGGGTATCTGTCCTATTTTGGATAGTCATTGTTCTAGCTAATTTAGAGCAGGCTTGGTAAAAGTAACACAATTTGACGTCATTAAATAACATTGTGGTTTGGATAGTAAGGTCGCACAAAAGAGTTAATTTAGTTGTTAGTAAGACAAAGTCAGTGCTATTGTTAGGAAAAGTAAATCATGCAGCCTCAAGTGGTACGTACCTCAGAATGATATATATTGATCGCGAAATAATCAAAAATTAACTTATTTAATTTTTCAATTAGAACAACAATTTTTATAAAAATGCTTATGTTACGTATTCCATAAAAAAAATCCAATTTTGATCGAAAAAAAAAAATGACATAGCCAGTTAAGGTTTTGCAAATTAGTTGATAGATATTATTCATAAATTTATAAAGGTAGGTAGGTATTTCTTTTCAATATGAAGTAATATGCAGCTATAACAGACTTATTCAACTTATTTCTCCTTATAGTCAGTCAATAAAAATGAATTTCACATAGTCGAACGTCCAACTAAAATTTGTCAATAAACAAGTAGTAGGATAAACGTAGCTGCATAACATAGGTGGGGGTGCAACAAATTAGCAACAAGCTGATTTCAGCGGAATTGTTTAGTAACCGACCTCCTATTTAACCTCCCAAAAGTCTCATTCAGTCCTAGGGGTGGAAGGTTGCAAAAAAATGGCTGCCATATTGGATTTTTTGTTTTTTTCAAATATCTCAGTTTCTATTAGTTTTTTCAAGAAAACTCAAGAAACCTTTTTTGTGGAGAATTTGATTCTGTATAAAAAGTGTCTGTACGTTTTTTTTGTAACATGAAGGATAACAGAGATATTGTTTTTTTTTAGAATTTGATTTATAAATTTTTCACTTTTGTTGAAGATCCAAAAAAGTGATCCACCAAAGTAAGTAGTATATTCGCTCCGTATAAATTGCAACTTTTTAGGGTCTCTATTGGTCATATTGATCGTGTGTGGAGTCATTTTGTTTGTGAAATTTTGATCTTTTCAACCTTGTAAATTTTTTTCTAGACTTCATTCTTGGTGAGCCAACAAATCCAGTTTAATTACTGGGATTCAAATACGAATAGAAAAAAAAGATAAATCGTATTACTTATTAGCAGCACAAAAATTTGCAATCTCATTGGTCGGCCAGTTATCCGCCAACCAATAGAATAATAGAATAATAAATTTATCTTGCAGATAGTTACCAGCAAGTTTATGTGAAGATGAATAAACCGGGCCTAAGCCAAATAAACATTCTGTATTAAATTTTATTCCTACCATAATCAATCCTGATATGGATCTACCTGTGATAAGGCCTGCTTCCAAAAGGAAGACAAAAATTAGCTTTTTGGCCATGTGACATTTGTCGCAAGGTTCTATGCAGAAATTGCTCTGGAGTAAGGAGCTCTGAGATTCGAGTTCTCATAGTGAAAGTACGCTGCCTGAGATATTTTTGTGCAAGCTGTATGGAGTGCTGTTTCCAAGCACTGCCGGGGTTGAGCTCAAGACTTCACGCATTCGAAGCAGATATGGAAAAGCTCAAAACCAACCAAAGAGTTGTGCTATTCAATCAGAATTGTGTGTTATCGAGGATGATGTAGCAAAATTAGATAGAGGGTTTTCTCCTATTCCTGCCAATAGTTCTATTCCTTCCATACCTAGGAGGAGCTCCGGAACAGCTCTAGGGCTTCACGCGCTTATTCCTTTCGAAAAGTGTTTGTTGCACCACGCATCTGTTTATCTGCAAATCGGGGACGACTGAACACCGTAGCGAGTAGCTCGAGTGTTTCAAACTCTTGAAAGGAGTACAACTATTGGCCAGCTCACTATAGATGGTATTAAAAACGGAATGGACTGGAAGGCACCTGCAAAGCCATTCTGGATTCTAATAAGGAACTTGTTGCATTCATGTCCAAGTCCTATACACGCCTGGCAAGTAAACATCTTGCATATCAATTTTAATGCGATAAAATGAAATATCTAGAGAAAGTCTAAGGTTGAATGGAGAACGAAAACGATTTCCTCTATTCCACCTCTAGCATTCCCAGCGCTTTTTACTGGAGGTGGAACAGGGGAAATCGTTTTCGTTCTCTATTCAACCATAGACTTTTTCTAAACATTTCGAAAGGGATAAAAGTAAAGAAATGTTTGAAATATTTACTATAAAAAGCTCTGTATCTTCGTTATCCTTTATGTTACAAAAAAAAAGTACATACACTTTTTATAGAGAATTAAATTTTTCACAAAAAAGGTTTCTTGAGTTTTCTTGAAAAAACTAATAGAAACTGAGATATTTGAAAAAAACAAAAAAATCCAAGATGGCGGCCATTTTTTGCAACCTTCCACCCCTAAGACTGAATGGGACTTTTAGGAGGTTAAATAAGAGGTCACTTACTAAACATTCCCGCTGGAATCAGCTTGTTGCTAATTTGTTGCACCCTAACCCCCCAGATTGACTCAGCTAAAGGACCTGATTCCGGTTGACGAACATTTTCTTAGCGTCTTTCTTACTGACTTTCTATCATTAGAATCACCTGCCAAACATTTAAATACCATCATCTTTAATCAAGTCCAAACTTCTTCTATGCCTCTATTTGAAAATCCAACAGAATAATTAACTGTACTTTTAACTAATGTCTGGTCTTAATTCTAGCATTGAATATATTTAGCCTCGTTCTCAGAACTTTTTAGTGTCGTCAGCGACACCTTTGGTAGCCACTAGAAATCGAACATTCAATTGACAGGTTTCCCCCACTCCCATGTCGCCAGCGACACATTCCCGAATTGAATTATTTCAACTTTTTATTCAGATCGTCGCTAATATTGTTGTTATTTATGTTATGTTTAGATTGAGTTTCACGAAATGTGGTTTGCTTTGGGGGAATAAGGTTTTTTTAAAGTTCTTTTTCATAGTCTTGCCGAATACTAAATTTGTTGTGAAATAAAAATACTGCCTTATTTTTAATGGAACACCCTGTATATCTTGTCATCGTCAGAAAGCCTCATTTTTTCACTTTACACAAATGTTTGTATTTTCTCAATTATCCTGGAATTGTATCGTATAGTTTGCACGTTGTTAAGGTCTTAACTAGTTAATGAAAGGATTGAACAAAAACTGATTATCGATTTTTCTATATCTAAAGTTTGTTCTGTTAATAAAAAAACCCAACTCAATACATTCTGGAAGTTTGAAGTCCCTCTAATTGCTTGAAGTATTTTTCAGAAGAAGAAGAAATTTAATAGAAATTTTACATAATTTTATTCCAAAGCTGATTTAAGAAAAAAATCATAATTCCATTCCTGATCCTAAGATCCATTCGCGGTTTATTCTGTTTTATGAAAAGACCCTACTCAATAAATCCTGGAGGTTTGAGGTCCCTTTGATTGCTTGAAGTATTTTTCAGAAGCTTTCAAATTTGACTTGATAGAAATTTTGTATGATTTTATTGCATTTAAGTGAGAAAAAAAATCATAATTCTATTTCTGAGCCTGATGATATCCATTCGCGGTTTCTTCTGCTTGATGAAAAGACTGATTGCTTGAAGTATTTTCCAGAAGCTTTCAAATGTGACTTGATAGAAATTTTGTATGATTTTATTGCATTTAAGTGAGAAAAAAAATCATAATTCTATTTCTGAGCTTGAGATCCATTCACGGTTTGTTGTATTTGATCAGAAAAACCCGACTGAATAAACCATGGAATGGAAGTTTGAAGTTCCTCTGATTATTTTTTTTTGCCAGTTAATGGTAGGCTCGATGGTAGGTACCCTCTTCAACAATGTGTAATTTTTCTAATGTGACTTCAAGATAATTGAAAAAAACATTGTACATTGTTGTAAAGTAGAAAAATCAGACTTTCTAACGATGACAAAATATACATGGCGTTCCATCGAAAATAAGGCAGAATTTTATTCCAAAAAATCGCATGCCTGTAAAACCACATATCCGCAAATTTGAAGATTTGGCAATACTGTGAAAAAAAAACTTTCAAAATTTCTCATTTTCCTAGAGCA